TTTTTTTTTTTTTTTTTTTTGAATAAATTGCAATTATTTACATATCAATTGGGGGAATGGAGAAAAGGATTTTATTAGATTCAAACATGCAATTCACAAGAGATGAACAGTCATAACCAAAGGTGCAATGTCATTAGACCAGAGTGGGCCATTCTATATGTACTTTTCCTTAATTTTAATATATACAAAACAATGTATAAATATACAAAACAATTTTTGTCCAAAAATATTTGATACTTTTTGTATAGATTGGGATAGGAAAATGCTACATATAACCTCGTTGGTTACACACTTCGTTACATACACTCACTCTCTATTACTCTCCGTCACTTTTCGTTACCTTCCAAATGCACCCAACACAGCCGGCCATATAGTTTTTTTTTTTTTTTTGAAAAGCAAAAGAAATTTATTATGTGAGTACAAGGGGTACTCAAACCCATTGACATCAATATACAAAGTTACATCCAGGAAGTGGGTCAAACAACAAAATCACAAGGTATTCCCAAAAACAGGAAAACTTGAATTCAACTCCCCATCTACACTCTACTTCCTATTTGTCAAGCAACTCACTAGATTAGTAATCCATTCTATGAAAGAAAAATTTTCTAATTTCAACAGAATTCTAATCCAATGAAATGAGCGGGTTTGTACAAGTTCAAATAGCTTGTCCTCATTTACCTTCTTGTGTTGAAAGGCTGTTTCATTTCTACTCAACCACAATGACCATACTATGGTGAACCATATCATGTTCCAGCCTTTTTTCATAATTTTTGAGCCCTTATGCCAATTGTGCTGGTTGAAAACATCAAGACAAGTATTCCCAAGAACATAACATAATCCCCACCAATTTAGACATTTAGATCATAATTTGAATGAGATATTGCATGACACAAAAAGATGATCTATATGTTCAGGGAACTGATCACACCAAAAACATTTTATACCTTGGTTGACATCCAGAATGCCCCGCTTTGCCAAGTTGACCTTTGTGGGATTCTGTCTAGAAGCATTTGCCATGAAAAAGCACTCACTTTTGAAGGGACTTGCATACTCCATATATTTTTGTACTCCAATAGTGTACTTTCCTCTTTCTTTGCCAACTACTCGTAAGCTGACCTTGTGGTGTATTTTCCTTCATTGTCTGGCCTTCATCTCCAAGTGTCTTTCGCATTCTGCACTGTTTTTATGCGATTTATGGTCCCAATCAATTGTTGTAGTTTTTCCTCCTCCCATGCTCTAATTAATCTTCTCCATTGGAATCTCCAGCACCAGCATCCATCAGACCAATGACCTCGATCATAAATGCTGCAGTTTTTGTCTGTGTCCAACAAAAACAGTCTCGGAAAAACATTAGCTAAAGAATCCTCACCCACCCATACATCTAACCAGAACCTGACACTCTTCCCATCCCCTAATTTTAAGTTGAAATTTGAGAGCAACCACCCATCCTCATTACCTAATCCTGTATTCAATTTGCAAATATCTTTCCACCATGGTGATCCTATTCCCCTACCCTCTTTCATCCATGATAACCAATTTCCTCCCTTGCCACCATATTTTTCTAACAGCACCCTAGACCACAAACCCTTGTCTCCCCCTATTAATCTCCCCCACCATTTCCCGAGCAATGCCATATTAAACCATCTAAGATTTTTTACCCCTAAATCTCCCTCTTTTTTTCCGCAACAGACCCTCTCCCAAGCTACCCAAGCTATCTTTCTACCTTCCCCAACTCCTCCCCATAAGAAATTTCTCCTAATTTTATCAAGCTCACAAATTACCTGTTTAGGGAGAGGGTATAACGACATCAAGAACATTGGCAGGCTGGACAGCACAGAGTTTATGAGGGTGATTCTTCCACCGAGAGACAAGAATTTTCCTTCCCAAACTGAGAGTTTTCTTCTGAAAGTTTCGATTAGGGGTTTCCATGTATCTATTCTCCTTGGATTTGCTCCCAATGGCATGCCCAGGTATTTGCAAGGAAGAGAGCCAATTTTACAATTCAGCAACCATGCCATTTTTCTAGTCCATTCTTCATCAATATTGACTCCAATTAAAGAGCTTTTTCTGTAATTTACCTTCAGGCCTGACACCAATTCAAATGCCCTCATGATGCATTTAATCATCCATATGTTGTCTTCGGTTGCCTCACCCATAAAGATTGTGTCGTTTGCAAATTGTAGATGGCTGATCTCTAACTCCACATCTCCTATTTTTACTCCACAAAGATAACCCTTTGCCACTACTGCCAAAGTTAGTCCATTTAGAGCTGCTGCCACCATTAAGAACAGGAATGGAGATAATGGATCTCCTTGTCGAAGCCCTCTTGACATCGAGAACTCTTTGGTAGCACTTCCATTAACTAACACGGACACAGTATTTGATCTTAAACATTCAGCAATCCACTCCCGCCATACTTTGTCGAAACCCATTTTTTCCATCATGTAGTCAAGAAAAGACCAGCTCACCTTATCATATGCCTTTTCAAAATCAATCTTGAATACAAAACACTAGGATTTCCTCTTCCTCACCTCATCAATTGCCTCATTTGCAACAACAACACTGTCAACCAGTTGTCTTCCTTCAATGAAAGCAGATTGATTTTCCCCTATAATTGTGTTTAATACTCTGCTGAGTCTGTTTGCTAACACTTTGGCCAGAATCTTATACATGCAGCCAATTAAGGAAATGGGTCTATACTCTTCAATGCCTTGAGGATTCTCTCTCTTTGGTATCAGAACCAAGAAAGAAGCATTAGAACCCCTTACCATCCTTCCATTTGTGTGAAAATCCATGAGGAAGTCCATGATATTTGCTTTAATCACCTCTTATTCATTTTTTATAAAGCCGAAAGTAAAACCATCCGGACCGGTGCTTTGGTGCTGTCACAATTCCATACCGCAGCTTTTACCTCTTCTTCTGTAAAAGGTTCAATGAGCATGCCTCTGTCCTCCTCCGAAATAGACTTGAAGTTCAGCCCCTCTAAAGTCAGTCTTTGCCATCCCTCATCAGTGAATAAGTTTGAAAAATACTTCATAACACCCTGCTTTATGTCTTCAACTTGTTTCAGCTCTTTACCTTCTATAGAAATTACATTTATTTCGTTTCTATGCCATCTCCCTCTGATGCATTTGTGGAAAAAACCGGTGTTAGCATCTCCTGTTTTCAGCCAAGTTTTCTGTGCTTTCTATTGAGCCATCTCTTCTTTCAACTGCATATTCTTTAACAGCTTAGTGTAGTGAGAGCTTCTGGAAATAATGTCTTCATTTGTCAAGTTGCTTGTTTCTCCTTTGCCATCAACTCTGTTTATCTCCTCCCTAGACTGCTCAATTTTTCTGTCCACTTCCTATATATTGGACTTTGACCACACTCGGAGAAAATCCTTTGTCATCTTCAGTTTCTCCTTTAAAATGAAACTGCCCCAGCCTTGAATTTCTAACTCCTTCCATTTTGCTGTCACCATATATGTGAACCCCGGGGTATGTAACCAAGCATTGAAGAATTTGAATGGTTTTGGTCCCCAATTCCTTACCTCATTTTTTACCAATATCGGACAATGATCTGACAAAGATCTTTGAAGTCCCCATTGTTTTAGATCAGGCCATTTCAATAGCCATTCATCATTGAATAAGAACCTATCTAGGCGACTCATGCATCGGCCATTTGGTTGTTACCATGTATACTTCCTTCCCAGCAAAGGTAGATCTAGCAAGCCATTCTTCACAATGAACTCTTCAAAACCCTTTATGTCTCTCCTCACGCTCTTACCCCCCTTTCTTTCCTGAGAACTTTTGATGGAATTAAAATCACCCCCTAAACACCAGCACCCCGTGTAATTTCTTATCAGTTGTTCAAGGCCTTTCCACAGAATTTTCTTTTTCATCAAGTCACATGGAGAGTACACATTACACAAAAAACATGGGTACTCATTTGGGCCCCATAACCCATGCATTCCTATAAACCCCTCCCCTTCAAAGACATCTATCTTCTTGAATATTTCACTATTCCAGATGATAATTAATCCTCCCAAGGCTCCTGCAGCAGATTTTGCCACCCATTCCATGTTATCTGAATCCCAGAGTTTCCTACATAATTTTCTATCAACTATTTCCATTTTTGTTTCTTGCAAAAACAAAACCTCTACCCTATGTTTTATCACCAGTTCTCGTACCTTCCTTTTCTTCCCCCATCCACCTAACCCCCTAATATTTAATGACAGCAAATTCATGGAAAATTAGCAAGCACCTAGTTTCTGGAGAGAGTGCTTACCGTGTCTTTTTTTCTTCTTTCTCTATCTCGTTGTTCCATCTCCTCTAGTTTTTGCAACACCAGAATCTTTTTCCCTTCTACTGAGACCCTTAGTTCTTTAATTCTACATAATAAGGCTTCTGTGTCTCTAATTTGGCTCTTCAGTTCAAATTTCTTGTTGCAATTTTGAATGTTGCTGTCATTTATGGACTCATCTGCCACCAAATCTGCTGAATTTGTTTCGAAAGTGACCTCATGTGCCATATTTTCTGTCACCACCCTCTTTCCTTTCTTTTCTTTTTTTTTTTTGTAGCGAAAACCCTTAAGGCCGCCTAACTGCATGTAGACAAATCTGCAAGTTTTCACTCTTCGTTTCTGCTGTTTCTTCTTTTTTTTCCTCCCCCTTTTTCGTCCAGTTCGGCATCTCCCCTGAATCGTCGGCCATATCTTTCCAGAAGTTGTCTTCCTTTTCAGTCCTCACGTGAGTAGTTGCCTTTTTGACCATTTTGGTAGGCTTACTCAAAGATGTTGGGTTTGGTTCTTTAATGTTTGGCCCATTAAGATTACCCAAAGATATTGAGTTTAATTCTTCATTGTTTGGCCCATCATCCTTAGGCCCATTTCTCCCATTCTCAGAATTCTTTTTCTTTGCCGACCCAATCAGCTCAATTGCTTCTCCCTCTTTCCTCTGCATCTCTTCAACAGCGGCTGAAGTCTTGTCCGTTGCATACTCTAAGCTGTTTACTTGTGAAGCCTCCTCCTCTCCTCCCTTTTTGAAAAACCCCCTGTTCCCAATGTTTTCCTCGCTGACATCCATCTCTGCTCCCATTCCGTTCCTATCTTCCTCGAGCCCAACAATCATTAAATGTTTTCTTGTTGAACCTTCCAACCCATCCATTGTAATATCGTTTGCCTTTTAAAAACATTCATCCGATCCCCTTGTCACTGAAGCCTCATCTTCTATCCTTTCATCTTCTATCCTTTCAGCAAGACCTTTTTGTTATTTTGGTGACTCACCGACCTTTTTGCTGAGCTGTCAACTGACAAGTGTGCCAACGTGTCTACTCCTCTTGCCTCATCTTCTAGTTCTGTCTCCGGAACCCGTAGTTCTATTGCCATGTCATCATCTTCTTCATCACACTGAGTTTGCTTGGATTCTAAATCACACGAAGACTGATCTATATTCTCATCAGAAGCTTCTGCTGACCATTTATCTCCATACATAGTACCCCCATTTATCTTGAAATTTGAATTCATTATGTATAGACCATTGCTGGACTCTTCCTCTGAAAATTTTACCTTGTACAGGACCCCATTTATCTTTATGGTTAGGGACTTTGAGATGAACTCCATCATAGGTGTTGATATTAGAAATCTGGCGGCATTAAGATGTTTTTTCCCACTGGTACTGTCATCCAGCGAAACAAAGGTGCCCCAAAGATTTCCAAAAGATTGGAAATATTCCGATTTCCATGCATGTAAAGGTAGACCCGCACACCTAATCCATGCAAACCTTTCCGCTGCCACTATCGTCAGTTTCCATGGTTTGATTTCCTCAAACCATTGTCCTAGCCAATCTTGACCAGTTTCAATAAGTTCTTTCAAATCTTCATAATCATGTCCTTCCAACAAGACCAACCTACCACCCATTGCTCTGATTCTGCAGAAGAAAACTCTTTCCATGAAGAATTTTTCTTGCAAAGTTGGAATCAAAGTTACCGAGCGAGCTGTTCCTACGAAGCATTTCTCCAGCCACTCATACTCATTCTTCTTCACATTAAACTCCATTCCTGACCATGCTTGAGGTTGTTGTTTTGGCTTCCATCTCCACTTCGTTTGATCACTCACTCTGAGCCTTTTGCTTTGCTCTCTGATGTTTGCACCATGGTATTGTCCCTCTATTAGTCCCGTGCTTTGATAATCTGCATTCTTTCCTTTGACTATCTCTGCATAAGTCAGATTCCTTTTAACTCCTGCATTTGACGTGGCCACATTTGGCATCCTGTTTCCCATATTTCTTTGTTGGTGGTTCTGATACCCTGACTTCAAAACGGGGTTTGTTAGCTTGAAGATTAAGCCCACCAATTTGAATTTGATTTAGCTTTCTCTCCAATTCTCTAGCGCCTTTCACCTCCAAGAACCTGACGAAACTGAATCTTCTCCTTACACGGTCTCTCTTCTTGGGACATTCAATTTCAATAACCCTGCCCTCTCCCAATCTGTTGAAAGTTCTCCACATCTGTTCAAAAGACCATTCATCTGGGAAATTTGTGAAAAAGAAACCAATACAGAGGCTACCATTAGTGCAGACAAAACTTGCAATTGCTCCCATTGAAACCTGCAATTTCATCCTTTCATTTTCTTTCTCTATTCCTTCATCAACACAAGATCTGGACATTTTCCCTTCCAATTTCTATCTTTTACTGGGGATTTGAACTCTGTCTGATTAAGAACATGGAGTACTAATGGAGGAGGCAGAGGTGCTGTTGGCCGGAGGGTGGTCAGTTGGAGTGTGTAGGACGATAAGGAAGGGGGTTGGTGTTTGTTTTGGGATGGCTAGGGTGGTGGAAGGCGCATGGTGGACTAGATGTGTTGGTGGTGGGGGACAGAGGCGAGAAAGGGACTAGTATGGGCTGAAGAACAGCAAACATGGGGGGAATCTGGTAAGGCTTGGTGGTGGGGGAGAGCGGCGAGAAAGGGGACTAGTAGGGGCAAAAGAACAGGAGACATGGGGGACTCTGGTAAGGCTTGGCATGGAGGTAGGAGGTGAGTGGTGTGGCGGTATGTGGAGGTTGTATGATGTGTTGTTGGCCTAGAGGGAAGGCGACAGTTGGCAATTGTCCTGCAAATGATTAGGATGAAGATGGATTTGGTGAGGATGGTGAACAGCAAGAAGGAGAAAGGAAAGGAGAGAGAAAAAGAAAGGGCTGGGTTGGTGCATGGGAAATTAACAAAAAGAATCGAAGAAATTATCTAAAAGTAATGGAGGGTTATTGTGTGTAATGAAATGCGCAACGGGACAAGAGTGTATGTATCATAATTCATTGGGATAATATCTGATATTTATGGTAAAAAATAAAGATTAAATCTGATATTTATCCTAACTTTCCAATTTCCTTACCTTAAAAAATTTCTAAAGAAGCAAAAAACACTTCACTGCGTACATCCATTAACCCATATAGAAAAAGTGACAAAGATAAATACTATTTAGAGGTTAACAATCCATATCTCTAGAAGCAGATATAGAGAAAATCCTATCAACAAAAAAGCATGGAGAAGTTCCCCAAGAGATCTGTGCTTTGTGCCCTACTTCTAGCTTTTCTGGCATTATCAACCTCTTCTTTATGCACATTGCCAATGTAAGCTAGGGTTTCTCAGTTCTCTGCTAAGAAAGGTGAGAAGCCTAAATTTGAAATGAAATTAATGTTTCATTTAATTTGTTCTTTTACCCTACTTATGCCTTGGCCTAATGTTTGATTTTGATTATGTTTTTCCTTCTAGTTTTTTTTTTCATCTTGCTATATGATATTACATGAATTCATCGGAAATATAAATAAAATTAATCTGTTCGCTGAAGACATGCTTCATTTTACAACATTCTTATTTTTTGTGTTTTGGCAACAATCCATTGCACAAACTCTAGTCTCCTCCCACCAAAGTATGGTGCACCGCCGCATACTAAGGCCAAATCCTCCTCCTCCTCCTCCACCTGAACGTTTCCCTTCGATAGATAGGGTTATGTAATATTTCCTCTAGTCTGATGTAGTTGTCCAATAAAGGAGAGTGATCTAAATTAGTTATCCCACTTTTCATTTTAATAAGACGTATGAAAGGTTACTATTTCAGTTACATTTTTATTTAAAAAGATAAAGAAATGTTTTGAATTTTTTTTAATTTAATTGTACTATAAGTAATAGTGAAAAAAGAAAGAAATTAAAAATCTTAATTATTGTAATAAATAAATTTTCAATAATCATAAATAGATAAAATAACATAAGTAAATTAAAACAAAGCGAGTAATTGGACATTGTCGTTGATGAACACCCTGGTTTCTCTACTTTTGAACCATGAAAATCTGCTCTGAAGACAACATTTAATTAATTATGCACTCTGGTTTTCATCGATTATTACTAGAAGTATTTTGCACATAATTTTGCAAAATTACAGACTATTTTTTGTGATGATTCTAGGAAACTTTCTTAAAATTGTTAAAATCTTCAACTATATTATAAAAATTATTAAATTTTTCAATAAGTAAACATTAATTAAATTCCTAATAGGTTTTTTAAAATCCAAATCCAATTGTATTTTCAATAATAATATTTATTTTTAATGCAATATTACTTTAATTTGACTTCAATTACTTTAATTATATTTTAATATGAACTCAGTTATATTTTTTAATAATACTCTTTCCAAAAGAATAATATAGTGGGAGGATACGAGGAGAAAGATTAATTATAAACAAATTATTAATATAGATAGAGAAAATGAGGGTCAATATAGGTAGATAGATAAATATAGTGATAAAATATGTGGGTGTAAGCTAAGAGACGATATTGTAAGAAAAATTAATGAAAGATAGAGTCTAGGTAAATGAAAATGTATTAAAAGAACAATATTATATCTTTTATATTTTGACTTAAAAACTTTTAATATAGGCATTTGGGAGAGAGGAGACAAATTGGGGTAAAAAAGACATATATATTATAGTAGTAATTATAGATTCAAACATAAAAGAAATTAAAGAAGATTTAATGAATGTCGATGACCACTTAAATTCAAAAATGAAAATTAAGTGTAAAAATGTGAAAAGAGTCGTCACTTATCCAAATTATAAGATGGGATAAGTTACGTAAAACATGGTTTGTGCAAAGATTAAGATCTGGTGGTATGATTATGAGTGAAGAAGGATATACACACATCTCATAATCCTTCATGTAAAACATGATTGCATACTTTAACAGAGAGGTTTTATTCAACTTGTTTATTACTTTGGCCTTGATTAAGTGAATTGGAAAAGTAAATGGACAGCATTGCAACTTTTGAACACTTTTTGGACTCAATTGGACAAAATAGATGACAAGCTGTCACAATCGCAACAAATTAAAAGTTAGGATCTATTTTGAGCAAATTCAGGATATGGAGGACCAAAGGTGAAATATTTGAAAATTCTGGACCACATTGCTTGATCTCAGAAAGATGTGGAAAAAATTAAAATTAAAATGGAGATGATTGAATTCTTCTACTCTTTGACCATGATTATTCAAATTAAACATAATTAGGACTATTTAACTAAAATTTAGTGGAATAATTTATTATGAATTAATTAAAATAATTAACCATATTAGTTAACCTTTAATTAGAATAAGGAAAATGATTTAGGAACAACTTTTTTTTACCATCTTTTTGTATAACCTTATATATCATTTAAATGATTAACTCTTTTTATTCATTTGGGATATTTGACATTGATGTGTGATATTGAATGCATTAACTTATTTAATGATATATAAAAATTATATAAAAAAATTATATAAAAAAGTTTTTCTTATATCACCACTCTTATTATGTCCATTCAATTTTACGTAGAAAATAACACAAAGCAAAGAAAAATTTTGTCAGACAAAATACAAATACAAAAATGTACGCAATTGTCATTGCTCAACTTAAAACTTTTATATACTAAAATATCTTTAAAAATTAAAGTGTTTACAAAATTGACAAAAAGTCAAACTCACTTTTAAAGTAATGTCTTCCAACTTGACTCGACCTAGACGATTCAACTGATTAATTTGAAATTGGTTGTAAAAACAGGCCGGGTTAAGATATTAGCTTGACAGAAGCAATGTTTTTAAACCTGAACCAGAGGTCAGACTGTTCATGATTTAAATGGTTTAATCAATTTAATCAGCAAACCTGCTATGTTGATCAAAACACTATAAATATATTATTATGCAAAATATTTCGCAAGGCATTCGTTGGGTGCAATGGTAGGTGGTTGATTTGTTATTAGAAAAATCACAAGTTCGAATCTCCTTAAGAACAAACTTTAGTAAAATTGTGATTAAATAGAATAATTATATTATAAAGCAAAAAATTGCAAATAGAAGGTTGTGTCTAAGGTGGAAGAGTTTTTATTCCATAACATGAAGAATGGGTGTTTGAATCCCATGGCTGTCATTAATAATTTTTAACGAATGGGTGTTCGAATCCTATGGCTATTATCAATAATTTGGTTAAAAGTTTTAAGATTTCTATTAGATAAATAAAATTCTAGTCACCTTGTAATATCCCAAAATTTTGGGGTATTTTAGCATTAAATTGGGGACTTATATGAGGGAAAATATTGTTTGGGGCTTAATCGCAAAATTTTAAAAAGTGGAGGGGTTAAAAAGAAAGGAAATTAGGATAAGGATCAGCTGATATTTTCATTCCTTTTCTTCCCAGCCATACACGTTTCTGCTCTGCTCTTCTTCTTTGTGCAGCCCGACAAACCCCCCAAAGCCACCGACTTCCTCTTCCTTTGAAAACCGAAAAAGGGGCTTGAAAATTCTCCTTCTTTCTTGTTCAATCACAAGATTTGGGGCTTAGAATCTTCTCCCTCAACCCAGAAAATCTCGGATCTGCTCTGCTTCTTCCTCCCTTGTCCGTCGGGTTCTACTGGGTGTGGATCCTTCGATTTTTCTGGTAAGATCTAGCCATGAATCCCTCTCTTTAACCTTGATTTAGGTTGGGTTTACTTTAATTGCTCTTGTTCCTCCAATTTTTGGGTAGTTCCGTGAGCTTCCCCTGCAGATCCCGCCGGCCTTCCCCAATCTGCTAGCTCCGGTTCCTTGCTTGTAAATTCTGGTATGTGGCAGCCTTAAACCATTGTTTTTAAGCTTGATTAAGGTAGAATTAGCTTGATTAA